TTAGTTCTAGACCTAGTAATGGGGAGACGTAACAGACACATGAACACATTCAGTCTTATTCTTATGCCCGGTACACTTGGTGAATTCGGAACCGCATTCTACTCTTACTATTATTGTCATAGAAAGATATTGTAAAAGTAGTAAGAGTTTCGAATTCAGCAACTGAATAAGGGACGGGACAACCTGTCTCTCACCTGAGATCACAACCATATCAAATTACAAAGATCCAACGAGTCAATCAATTCCCGATAGACAAAATCAAGTCCCGCCCGAAATTTTTTTCTCGTTTGAGAAGCTGTTTCACATGGATATACAGTAGGCTACGTCAACAATAAGGAAGAAAAGACTGTCGTAACTTCCTCAGCAGTATAACAGCGCTCGTCAATGTCAAAATGATAGAGAAGGTCAATCAAATTAAAGAAGAAGGACTCTATTGTTCACACTGATACCGAACACATGATTTCCACTGCGACACTTCATTTTTAAAGTCGGGAGTTGCGATAGTCTTTTCTTCCCTATTGTGACGTATATCTTGTCCATTGGGAATTGATTGGATGGTTGTGGTTTTCTATTGGTGGATCTCATGTGAGTGACAGGTTGTCCCGCCCTCGCGTCGTTAAACATGTTGTCAGAGAAAAGATGTCGCTGCAAGAGGAAGGGGAAGTTATTTTGATTAAGTTATTGTGCATGGATAAATCATTTATAACAAACACTGCAATATTTCATTAAAAAAATAAACAAGAATTGTCCATTTTGATTTCATGGTGACTTTAACAGTCAACCAGTGGACTCTGTATTTGATGGAACATAACCTTGTATTCCAGTTCAGTGTGTACAGTAAAGGCTCAGCAATAGTCAAATAAAAAGCTTAAGAGAACCTTTCAAAGTGTTTTTATCTACGATGTTCAGTGTTTCTCATGAGTGAACTTTTGTTCTATGGAGTCTTAACACACACACAAAAGGTCCAATAAAGATACTACAAGGATCACAACAGTTATCTAGCTGATGTATATTTCGATAAATTAACAGTAATTTGTTAAATATGATCAGATACTTCACTATGCCATGCTTTTAAGATAAGAACAGGATTTGAAAGCTGACACGCACCTGGTTAGAAACGACCTCACACACACACACTCTGCATGGCCCTCTGTTGCCACCATGCGGCCTCATTACGCACTGCAACAACACATTGACGACCAGAGAATTAAGTTCTGAGAACATTACATTTTTTAAAATAAAAAATATAGTCGGTTCAAGTTAATAATAATAATAAATACTAATGATCGATTCGTTATTTTCAATCTTAATATAAATAACTCTGTTATTTTTTATTCTTATGATCTTTAAAACGCGTGTAGCCTACATCTTTAAAATTAATTTTGTTGTAATATGTATCTAGGCTGTGTGTGATTTTTTTTTTTTTTTTTACTTGAAGCAGGCAAACAGTGCTCAACATGTGAGCTCCTTCAATAGTGTTTAAACAGCATCACAGGAAAAAAAATACATGAAGTTCTAGACAAAGAATGGCAACTTTTTAAGTCACCATGAAATCAAATCGGACAATTCTTAATATTTATAGAATATTGCAGTGTTTTATTCATGTGCCCTCATAATCTTTAATCAAAATAACTTCACCTTCTTCTTGCAGCGACATCTCTTCTCTGATGACCTGTTTACTTGTGCTGAGGCGGGCCAACCTGTCACTCACATGACATCACGGCAATAGCAATCACAACCATCCAATCAATTCCCAATGGACAAAATCAAGTCCCGCCCTACATTTTTGTTGTTGTTGTTCAAGAAGCCGTCTCACTCAGCTATATTACAATAGGGAAGAAGAGACTATCACAACTTCCGTTTCATGAAGACAAAGAAATTCAAACGCTATATTTTTAGTTTAGCATTTACTGAATGACCATATTTCCATTTGTGTTATTTAAGCTTTAATGACTTCACAATTGTTGTAAAAATGTAAGGGAAAAGTGGAGGCAAATGAGTTTGCATGATTACATTTTGTCTGTAAACAGAATAACTGCTGATTACATCACTTTAGAACATTAAAAGCCAAACAAATCATTCTCAACTTCCTCTTGACAAATGCAACAGTACAAAATGACAAAATGCACAGGCTTACAGTCACCCTAAAAAAAACTATTTATTGAGCGATCACAAAACAAAAAAATAATGCAGGAGACACAAATAAGAGCACATTGTAAAACAAATAAGTTTTACATTTTCTTATATACAAAGTCAGCAACAGATCCATTGGTTTTTATGTGTGGATACTGATAGTCACACAAAGAAGAGAAGACACTATTCAATATATTGATGCACAGAGATAACACAAGGAAACAAGCATTGCCCACAGACCTGCTGCTTCGAGTGAGTACCGACAGCACACATCATGTCTGAATGCACAGAGGAAGAGAGAGATGTGAACGGTGAAAGCCTGACCTCCATTCATGTCCATTACAAGACTGCAGGAATGACTCAGCAATCATTAATATGTACTTTAGGAATTAAAAAGTGATTAAAAACAAAATGTCTCATTTCTGGGCACTCATGTGAGACAGCTGATTTGAAAAGAGAGGGGGGAAAAAAACATGTGGCATATTAAAGCACTTTATAAACTGATTCAACATCATTCAATCTTGAACAATCATATACATTAAATTATAAGATCATAATTGAGTCATAACTGACTCAAGTCCTGCCTATTCCGTAAAAGCCCCAAAACACACAAGAAAAAAATAACAACACTTTTTTCTAAAAAAAAAAAAAACACTAGCGCACATCATTTGAATTATTCCTCTAAGAAAAATCATTACAGCTTATTGGGGCAAAGATGCATATGTTTTTTTAATAAGTGTATTCACCAACTAGTATTTGGATGAACAATATTTGTATTTAATGCTAAAGCGCCAGCAATCGATGCACCTATCAGGCATTTTTATGGCAGCCCAACTAAAGCTTTGTTCTCAGTTAAATCCTAGATTTTTTGGGCAGATTCATGAATTATAAAAAAAACAAATGTCTTAAAGATATAATCCGAGTGTCAACACAAGATACGAAGAAATCTTAAGGCCTGCTTCATAAAACAACACATGCATATGTATTCAGACTTAATATCTTTCATCATCTAAGGAAGCTTGTTTCTACCAAAACACAAAAAAGGTGATTGAAACTTTTTATCTCACATTTCATGCGTTTATATCTTGCAATTCAGACTTTATAACCTGCAACTGCGCGTTTATATCTCACTTTTTTTTTTTAAAGTCAGCATTGCAGGATATAAACTCGCAATTGAGAGTCTGAATTGTGATATAAAAGGTTGCAATTACCTTATTTCTTTTTTATCCTGTGAAAACGAGCTTCCATTCACAGCTCTCTGAACGTTGGCTGTGGCTCATGACACCTCTGAGGTAGATTAGAGACGCAAGAACAGTCTGAAAGCTACAGCAGAAAGTCTTCAAGCAACGTGTTGGCGGAAAATTACTCCACTGAATCATGCAGCTAATAGTCAGGGAGTCACTATTAAGTCATAAATAATAACATTTTATAGCAGAAGACAACTGCAATGTTGTTTTAGCTGCTATAAAACTGATATTTACAAGACAGGAAGAATTCGCAACCTTTAGGGGCTTGATAAAACAACAAATTAAAGATCAACAACAAAACTAGCATTTTAGTTTTGTGTGTTAACCAGTAATGGGTATTTACTGTAGCAATCAGATAATTATGTAATGATTGGGGTCCTAACATGTATATATGCATATACAATAAAGATGGCCATTTAATGAAAATCAGTAATTAAATTATTAATATGGCACCTACATGGAGTTTAGACTAGCTGTTCGTGGTTATATAACACTATATCCATTCTGGGCAGTAATAAATGTGAGTATTTGCAGAAGGCACTTAACTTAATGCTCACTAATTAATGTAAATGCCAAGATGACCATCAGCGATACACAGTCCACACTTTATCCCATTAGAAGAATTGAGATGTTTCACGCTCAAGGCTACTGTATGTGAAGCTTGTCCATGAGCTGTAGGCCATGGATATTAATGAGCTGGGTTTTGTTATTGTAATGAGCCTCAAATAGGAAAAGATTTAGACAGAGCTGTAGAGACGATCTGAAAAACGTGAGGAGAGGCATTATAAAACTTGATGAATATTAAGTATGTGATAATCAGCCGGAAGAACTCCTTGAATTGCTGAAAGGCAAATATAAAAGATGATTATTTCCCCAAATAATAGTTGCTCTGCACATGGATTTAAGGAAAAACATCAACTGAAAGTACACTACCAATAAAAATGTGGGGTCTGGAAGATTTTTTTGTTTTTGAAAGAAGTCGGTTATGCTCAACAAGGCTGCATTTATGATTTTGATTATGATTTGATAAAAAAATAAAAGAAATACTGTGAAATAATATTACAATTTTAAATAACTGATTTCTATTTTTCTGTATTTTAAAATGGAATTTATTCCTGTGATGCAAAGCTGAATTCTCAGCATCATTACTCCAGTGTAATTGGCTGCTCAAGAAACATTTCTTATTATTACGAATGTTAAAAATAGTTGTGCTACTTAATTTTTTGTGGAAACTGTGATACATTTTTATTTCAGGACTTTTTGATGACTAGAGAGTTCAAAAGAACAGCATTAATTTGAAACAAAAATATTCAGCAACATAAATTTGATCAATTTAAAGTGTCCTTGCTGAATAAAATGATTAATTCCTTAAAAAAAATTCCAACTGGCCCCAAACTTTTGAATGGTAGTGTACATTTAAAATCCACTGAAGCTCTAAATGCACAATACTAGCTTCTAAAAATGTCCATTCGAACCACCCTTTGACTTCACTTGAGGGAGTAAAATGCTTTCGCGCTATAAATTATACAAAATAATACAAGCAGCTCTCTAAACTTATTTCACAGGGAAAGGGGGCAAATTCCGAAGCGGATCTAAGCTATATCGCTTTGTCAATGGTCAAAGTAAAGTAAAATCCACTCAGCCAACAAAACAGGCCGAATGATAGCAAATCATGAGTTGAGTGGAGACTGAGGCCCACGGGTGAGGACGTGTTACTGACAGTCTGTGTAATAGAGAATGAATGCTACTGGACAGACAGATGCGTCGCTCTGAAGAGGAGCTGGGCTGAGCTGGGAGCTGGGGTTATGGGTAGGACGGGGATTGATCTCAACTTCTCCGAGATTTTGAATGCTGGATCAACCACTGCAATGTGATATCTGCAGGAAAAACGTGGAGAGAGGAAGAGATGAACAATTATGACAATTATATAATATCTCCTGATGCACCTCACTTCCTCTCCCAACCTAAAGCTCAAATGACACACTATACACTTATACATATGTATGCACTATGCTCTCAACCATGTAGTGTATGCATTTTATAAGGTTATTTGGTCATTCAACATCTGAGTCTGATAGCCCCTCCCCCTCCACTACATAACTAAAGCTGTGACAGAGTGCATGAAGTTTACAACATTCCACACTTTGGTTTTTTCGGTTTATTAAGTGCATCATCCGAGTATTTAAAGTGTACTTTTTGTATTTGGAATTTCAGTGTGAACACTACTCACTATTTGTGCTACAATTACAAAACAGCATTGAATAGTGCATAAGTACGCAAATTGGGACATACCTTCAGTATTACAAATATTTTCTTGCTCAGAGTAGTTTTGTGTGTGTGTGTGTGTGTGTGTGTGTCATATTTTGGGAACTGCTGCTTCACAGAAAACACATGGTCTTTTCTTAGCCAATTAGCTATTTGTAAAGCCAATAAGTAATGTAATGTGTGAAAGCCATCCATTTGCATCCATTATACTGTAGTATAATGGATGCAAATGGATGGCTTTTCAGATTAGCGGAAATGACGAAATCACAACCACCACAACTGTACTGCGCGACAAAAAAAAATCTAACTAAAAGGAACAAAACAGCTCTTAATCGCTGAAATGTGAATGAGTCACAAGTAAGGTGGTTTATGAGTCATTTGATTCAGTATTGTAAATATAGTTGAACTCCACAAGACCTTTCTTCTTTTTTTTCCAGTTCTGAACGCACATAATGTTCTTTGTGCCTTTCTCACCCTCACTTCTTCAAGGAATTTGGTTATTCCAAATTAACCCAGTAAAGCCGCACATACAGTATGAAATAAGTCAGAAAAATCTATTTTTAATGGAAGTTTATTGAACCTTTGGACAAAATCTAAAAAGAAAATGCAGTAACTCTCACCTATATTGTCTTTCTCTTTGCATGAAATGGAGTAGCAGCAGATCTCTCGGTCTTGAATCGCAGACAGGTTCCTGCAGAAAAGGAAACATCATTTGCCCTTTTTGAGAGTAGCCTCACATGAACTTTTTCTAAAGATATATTGTCAACCGACTGTGGAAATGTCACAAAATCCCAGAAAACCCCCCCACAAAAAATCTTCCAATGTGGACATGTTTAGTGCTAGCAGGAGTATAAAAATGCCATAGTCTATTTAGGAGAAGTCTAAAAAGAGGAAGGCGACGCAGTGTTATTAATGTAAAAAAACTCCATTCAAATCAAAAGCATCCAGAGATCATATCAGGATTGTTCAACAGTGCCCACCCCCTTTTACAAGGTGAATCCCAACATTACAAACATTGATTTTAGGTGAAACAGTTTGTGAAAATCAGACAAAAAGAACCACAATCCCATGAGCAGCACAATTGAATTAAAAACAATGCAAAATATGCATAAAAATACAAACATTTCATTATTTTGAGAGCATAGAGAGATCGACTCGACTGCGTCATTCGCAGTGCTTCATGGGAGTGGGCGGAGCTGAAGAGCTATTTAGGTTGCTTTTTTTTTTCGACTTTCTGATTGGTGTAATTTCCTGTACAGCATCATGGGTAATGTAGTTTTTCCACCAGGAATTCCACTGTTAAATGAGCTGAAATAAAGTGGGCTGAAGTCTTCAGTAAAAGCAAATACCATCAATTAACAACAACCTCGTCACTCACAGTAGGTCTGTCTTTAAAGGCTTATATTATTGTTCAAAATCAATTTCCCTATGGAGTTTTTACTTCCAGTACAAGACCGCTGCGCGATATATGGGTCTGAATAAAGCAGGAAACACTAAATGAATCTCTCACTCTCATGACCCCAAACTTATTAGTCAAGGAATAGCGTGAAGAAAGATCAGATAATGCAGCTTACATCTTTTCGATGAGTTGTTTCTCGTCTAGTGCAATAGAGAGGTCTCTTTTGTTGCCAAGGACAAGTACCTGTGAAGGATAAAGTAACAATAAATCACCCACAACGTACCTCTTAAATTGTCTTTAGATTTAAACTGCATGTTTCACATTGGCAGTTTTGCTTTCAGTGCTTAAAGATTTATGTATTTGGGTGTCGGTCCTACATCAGAGCGTGCTAAAGCTGTCTTTTTAAATGGTTGGCTTTAGCAAATGGTAGCCGTCCCATCACTCCCTACAGACAGATAATCAATGAGAGAACTGTTTCCTCTGTGCGGATTTCTCTGCCATAGATAAGACCAGTGAGGACATCTCGGACCACAGGAGCTGACGGTACAGATGCTTAGTCATGCTCCTTAAATACCACACAGCAGCAATGGAAAGATCTGGACAAGGTGTGGTGCGATGGCTAGGCTAGAGCTCCTGCCGTTTCGGTAAATCCAGCAGTCATAAAACAGCAGGAAGTATTAATAACACAGACAGTCTTCCATTAACACCACAGCAGCTACAATAATACAATTATTATTAGTATAATTCTCTTACAGGAATGCCTTGCAGTTGTGGCTTGTCTAACAAGTTGTGTAGCTCGTTTCTGGAGGCTTCCACCTTTTCACGATCTGCAGCATCCACCATGTACCTGAAAACACCAACAGTTCTTTATGGAGCCTTGATAATAACACAGTAATGTAAACAACACTTTATATAAGGGATTATATACAGTTAGCCAGTCAATATTGCTAAATAGATCTTGACTGGGTGATCAGGACAAAGCACAGCAGTCCCAATTTAATTTGCGATTAATGACTGGTTGACTGTACATTATCCCACTTATTACACAGCTACGTCACAAATAAATACATTAATGGACATGAAATGTTTCTTGAGCAGCAAATCAGCCTATTAGAATGATTTCTGAAGGATCATGTGACACTGAAGACTGGAGTTAGACTGTAAAAGTGCCAATATTAGCCAACTAACTAATTTCCAATATATTGCAACAGAATACATTTTGTAATAATATTTCACAATATTACTGTTTTTACTGTATTTTTGATCAAATAAATACAATATTAGTATTTAGTAACCATTTTCTATGGACTGACCAGCAAAGAATATTTAGCAACAATATAATATGCCTAATTTTAAGTTCTCTCTCATCTAGCTCCTAGATACAATTTAGTGGTCATTAAACAGACCTATCTAACTGCTCAATGCCACTGACCAATCAGAACCAAGTATCGCATAGGGTAGTGGAATAAACCATTTTAAAAGTGTCTGAGGGAACAGACAGCAGATTATACTCACACTATGGCGTTGACGCCCCGACAGTATCGCTCCCACATGCTCCTGAACCGCGGCTGCCCGCCTATATCCCAAATCTACATGAGAACAACACATTTTTGCTACAGGGTTGGACATGATTGCAGGCATTGGTGATGTAACGTGATGTGACTATATAATTCAATATGATGTGTATGAAAGAGTGTTAAACTGGATTCAACAAAACCACCCTTGATAATTAGCACAGATGAGACTAACCTTTATGGTTACGTTGCCTTTGGTGACTTTCCTCATGTTGAAGCCGACTGTAGGGATCATGTCTTCATTGAACTGACCAGACTTATGGAAAATAAACATGTAGATCATTACAATTAAATGGATAAAACAAATCTACAAAATGACAATCTAACAGTCTGACATTTCACAAAATAACATGAACACGCACAAGAGGAAGTCAACATTACAATTCAGCAACTCATAGGTATTTTTAGTGAACGTAATGGGAATTTTTGGTATCACAGGCCAGAGAGTGTCATGTCACATGATTCAGTAAATTGTGCAAAAGAGCAAAATGATTGGATTCATTCTTTAAACCATGTGGATTTTAAAATAAGTCTCAAGAGATCTTCAAGATCTTTCCTTTAAAAATATGACCATAACTATTCATGGAGCGAGATATTGAAAAACCCCCATATTAAATCTAAAAGAGCTTAGCTAACTTGAAGGTCATATTACAAAAAAACTTAAGTGTTGCAATTATGCAAATTGAAACTTAATTGGTTCACATTTATGAGTGAGGAATTACCGACAGAATTGTTTAGAAAGGTACAAATACAGAACGAAAAAAAAATAATGGGTTAAATGAACAACCCATAGGCCTAAATCATTCTCTGAAACTAGAATGACACCTGCGAGTGCGAGATGCTGAAAACGGAAGAGATGTTTCTCTTTTCCTCTTTGAATTCAGACCATCATGTAGAGTTGTGAAAGTAAAGTGACCTTAGAAACCCTGGCTTTTGTAAACTCACTGTGCTGCATTGCAGAAACTTTGAAAAAGGCCCACTTTTTTTTTTTACAACCGCCTCAGTAGACCCGAACCCCCAGTGGGACAGTCACTTGCATTTAAGCATGTTGCCTAATATCAGATTCAGTCTGGTGTGCTCAGAGACCTTTCCAAATACAGGCCACACCAAGGTTGTTTCCAGGTTTATGTTTAAATAAGATGCAATTCTCCACTTGCATTCAAATAAAACATTATTGTGACATTTTTAGTGTCACAAACTTACAACAGGGTAACTTTAGACGGTAAACCAATTCAAAACCACAAGGAGCTTCCAGAAAGGCAGGATTGTTTTCAGCAGTGATTGATCACATAATTATCTATGAAGGAAATCAAAAAGACATTGGGCACCGACGTCAACATTTAAGCAAAGCCATAATTCCTAATTTACATGTATGACTTTGTAGTAGGTATATTACATTACATTATTTATGAATTTGTTTACATACGATTTAAGCTAAAACACTAAAGCACACCATTGGAATCTCATCCACCCTAAAAGTCATAACACTGAAAACAATCTTCAAACCTGGAGAAACTAGAACAGGTTTGTAATTCATATTTCATGTACAATCTAAAACGTCAAGCATTGCGTGAAAAAAAAAAAATCACACCCATATTCCTAATTACTCATAAAAAGGTCTGTTCTGCACCCCCTGTCAGGCTATGACATGACAACAATAACATAAACAGCTCAGTCAAGCTTCAGTGTTCAAACTTTGAGGAATTAAACTGGACTTACAGCGATAACGTTGACAAAAGTGGTTTTTCCAGAGTACTGCAGTCCCACCAGCGTCAGCTCCATCTCCTCCTTCCAGAAGAGCGACCTGAACCAGTCCATGAGCCGGTGGATGAGAGCCATCATCTCTGCTCTGCGCTGCTGGATGAGCTCTATGGTCAGGATGATGCAGGGCAGATTCCGTTCCTGCTGGAGGGAATCGAGGAGAAAGAGGAAGCGGCTGAGGTGGTCATGTGACAACTACTGACGCACAATAAACGCGTCGCTGTCGCTATCGACACAACAATGCGGAAATCTTTCAGAATAAAAGTTCGCGAAAACTCGAGTCACACTGTTGTGTTGAAGGTATTTAAATACATATTAGGGACACTTTGAAGTGTTTGCATAAAAGTAACAAGCAAGAAAAAAAGCAAATAAACATTTGGAAAACTTTGGATTTCTTTGTTAGCAGAAAAAAACTAACAAACAAAAACCCGTTAATTTATTAACAAAATGTATTTATTAAAAATAAAGTAATCTTTGTTTTGGATTGTCACCTAAATAATCTAAATAAACAAAAAATGTTTTATTTATTTATCAAACAAACAAATAAATACATACATATATTTATTAAATGCATTGCATTAAACGTATAAACATTATTCATGCAAATGCATTATTGTATTTAAAACATAATTAATTTAAAAAATAATAATAAATTAAAACAAGATATAAATTAACACGTAAAACACGTTTTTTACAGTCTATGGAATAAATACTGTAAAAACATGTAAATATGTAAAAAGAGGTTCGTTGCAGTTCATCGATATTCCACGCGATGGCGTTAAAAGCTTTATAATAGGGGGATGAGACCTCTGTCGGAACAGGACCTCATACTTGCTGCAAGCAGCATAAATTATGTAAATTGACATTGTTTACTGAAAACATTTTCACTATTATACGGTTATCTATTGCGTTAATGTTATTTTGTAACTGAATTTTTTATTACAGTCATGTTTGATTGTTTGTTTGTTTGTTTGTTTGTTTGTTTGTTTGTTTGTTTGTTTGTTTGTTTGTTTGAGAAACGAATCATATTGTTTGCTCTTTTGAATACTTTTGAATCCCTCACCTTAATTTTTTTCTTCTGACCATAGATGACACAAAATCTCATCTCAGCACTTTTGATGAATGTCTACCCAATTTTTAATTTTGTTCATCTGAATATCAACATTTTTGAAATGTAGTCAGTTGAAACAGTTTTGATGTTAATTGATCTTATTCTGTGTCTCTGGAAAATAGTGATATATGAAATTGTATTAAATATCAAAGTTTTTGTGTCTATTGGTTAATGAGGGATCTGTGGACACACATTTTTGGATGAAAGAGATCAATAAAGATCAATAATGACCCTTGGGGTAAGATGACACAGAAGACCCCAATTGGCATTTAATTACTGTAATTAATGGGCTTAATTTTCAGTATTTTCATGAATTAAAACATCTTCACTTTCATTAAAACCTATAGGTTAGTAGGGTGGAATCATTATATTTGCATTCATAGTGTTGCTATTATGACATATCTTCAATCAAATCTGGGCATTTAAATAGGCCTAAAGATAGTCATAGAATCATTTTCTGATAAATCTCTTTTACTGCTATTCTGCTTTGTCTGTCTTCACAATTCAATTATTAACTCAATTGTCAAAATAAAAATTTGAATACAATATTTTATTTGCTCTTTTACATGAATGACACTTTTTAAAAATATATAATTATTAATAATAATTAACCCAACCTACTGTACTTAATAGTTGACATTTTGTGCTATATTTGAACAAAATTAACAAATGTTTCTATTAATTTCCTATAATAACACATTGGGTGATGCGTCATCATCCTGCACATGCTAAATTTATATAGGCTATCTAAATATCTTACTATTTAAAGATAAATCCACATTGTTCTTAATGGGGGCATCTTCCCCCATCCTACCCCAACCAAATTGACTAAATAGGTAACACTTTATACCTCTAAAAACAGTAATTTATCGATTAATTATCACTTACAGAAAATATTACTCATTTACAGACAACATATAATACTATTATTGTTGTCCTGCCATGACTGTGCTGGATGTGTGGCGTGTGTGTGCTGCTGTGCTCATGCTTCAGTGCCGTGTGGCTCTACATGTGAGGCCCAGTGTGTGTGATTATTACTCCGCTGCCTGTTCACATCCCAGCGGGGCGGCGGAGGAGGAGGAAGAGGGAAGCTGCACTGGATCGAGCACACAGCCAGACACGCGGTGACGGTGAGACTTAGCCTATTTCAACAGATAACGAGCATTAGGAAATGACGTGGTTCATCTAAGTATGTAAATCGCCTGCAAAGACAAATAATAATAATAAACGATTATGTTCTTTGCTCATTTTTTGGTGTTATAGACGTCTTCTAATCTAGTAGAAAAAGTGCCTCACATAACCTGACATTTTTTGTTATCGACAAATTCATGGACTTTAGTTAGGAATAGGATCTGTGAGGCTGGAATATTTGTAACCTGACTCTTATCATATTGTGTGTCTAAAGGATTTGCATAGACAAATCAAGTTTATGGGTTATGTAAGTGTTATATAAAGGCGAACTGTGATGATGGGAAAAACAGCGAGGTTGTTTTCCCAGCTAAACATGTTCAAGCTCTCCAACACACACTCAGACACATGGTTTCCACAGGAAAAAAAACCTTTATTAATACTTTTTCTTTACTGTATGTCAACAATACTTTAGACAAAATATATACATCAAACAACCTTTTCTTAGGTCCCAAAATAAAAAGTAAGTACCTCTTCCTATACAAAACTAATATATTGTTTTAAACATTACATTCACTTCCTTTTGCTTCTATGTTGAATCCAGGATTAAAAATGTAGATATCCGCCATCATGTTTACTGCTTTAAACAGGTAAAGGCAACAGCATGAATAAAGATCTGTCCTAATTTGACCAGAAATGAACACAGAACATGATGCAGATCGAGTCTAGGTCCAACAAGCTATGTACACAATCTCATGGCATACAGCACTCGGCTGTCTAAAACATAAATGTGTGGGTCACGTATCAAAAATACAGATGTACAAGTAGTATAAACAAAATAATTACAGGACGCAGAACCTCACAACAACTTCACCTACGTGCACGAATGGATGACAAACTCAAAAGCTACAGCGGAGCCATGGTTACATCACTCCCGTATTTACACGAGCGTCACGTCTCGGGAGTCGATGGCGTCCTCGTTTATGCAAGAAGATGGGAAGCGTGCACGCGCCTGTGCTCCTCTCAGCCAAAGCAAAGACATTTATTTGGTAGCATTCTAGTCTAAAAGGACGGTTCTTGTCGGTTAAAGCAGTCACAGAAGCAGAAGAGAGTGGAGCTTCCTGATCAAGCGTCCACGGCACAGAGAAATGTCCAAAAAAAGCAGCATCTACAGGGGTGATGTTTTATTAAAAAAATGACTTTTTGTTTACATTCAACAAATGAAAAGGTGCTTGTGCAAAGGGCAAAGTCTTTATGGTTGGGGGACCGTCTGCACGTCACATTCTGGGTTATTGTTTTCGACTTAAACATTCGGCATAAGTGCAGAGTGCAGCCGTTCGCCCGCCCCAGGTCCTATTTCTGGAAGGACAGTGCTCACTGTCCTTGCTTTGACCTTCTTCACAGTGTCTCACAGTGCTTTGCACGGGACCTCCTTTACCCGTCTGCCTCCACGTGGACCGTTCCATGTCTGGGTGTGTGTCTGCTGGCTGTTGAGGGAGCTGATAAGAGTGTGCGAGTGTGTATGTGTGTGTGTGTCTCTGCGGTTGGAGGGAGGCCGTCGTACTTCTGAGAGGAATCAGAACAGCTGTTTGCCGTGTTTGAGGGCGCTTTGAACTTTTGTCGTTGCGCCCTCTTCAACAGAACCCTCTTCGGGAGCTTATTCAGCAGGGAAGTCCACTCTCGAGACCAAAACATTCAGAGAGCGGGCTGTTGGCGGACCCCAGAGCGAGTCCTCAGTCTTTGGTTTCCAGGTTTAACGGGGGAACTTGTTTCAGGGCCTGCAGGAGTGCAGGAGAGTCCATGGAGGTCGGAGGGCTGGCGGGGGAGCTCACTCTTGAGGACATGGCCAAGGATGAAGGGAGTTTTTCTGGAGACATGCCCGCTGGGGACCCGCTGAGGCCTGGGTACAACACAGGCATGGCACCCGGGTACCAACACTTCTCCAGCATGGGCAGGTATGCTGCACCAGATGGGAAGAGGTAGAAGGGCATGCACAGGGGTTGGTGTGGAGAAAAGCTCATGTAGGGGCTGTGGCCGCCCACTATTTCATGCCCTGACAGAGACTCGTCTTCCGAAGAGTCGGACCTCTGCCGCTTGGCCTGTGGCTCATCCATCTCCTCTTTAATGCTGCCGCCATACTTGAGATCCCCAGTGTCTTTGCCATAGTAGGCCGACAGCTGGGCCTTCGGGTCACGCTTCTCGAGCTCGCCTCCGTAGCCACTGTCGGTATCCGTATCACTCCCGCTCTGCTCGCTGCAGTGGGGATAAGTCCTTTGAATGACGGGAACGCAGTTTTTAGCGTGGCCCTCTGCTGCTTTGGGCTGCAGGCCTGCCGGTTTCTCCCTGCTTTCTTGGGGTTTGGGAGCGGGCTCGTCCAGACGAGGGCTCGGCGGGCTCTGAATGAACTCAGACGCCACTTTTTGAAGGTGGTCGATTATGTGAGCAGGTGTCAGGTCGCGCATGGTCTCCTGGTTGGCCAGGAACTGAAGAACCTCCTTGGCGCACAAGTGGAACCCGGAACGGAACATCTCCTCACTGGTTTCTAAGTGCCCATTGCCCTGTTCACCTGCAATAAAACCATAAGGGTTAGAAAGCATGCCAATGCGTTCCTTCACAACAGTCTAGATCATTTGCTGCATTGCACAAGTCTGTCTCAATTTCTTTATTTTGTAATGTGCACGAAAACAAAGGGGGGGGGGGTGGGTGAAAAGTTCAGCAGGGCTGGCTGCTTCCTGCGGCAGTCACACATTGCATTATCGTGAACTCACCGATTTGCATTCCGTTCTGCAAGGAAATTATCTTCTGTTGCTGCTGCTCCAGCAGGTTGTTAAGAGCTTTCACATGCTTGAGCGTGAGCTCCAACACAACCGCCTTCTCCAAGTGTCCCAGAGTCTAAAACAGGAAAAACCCAGATAAGCATGTTGATCTTTCTTATGTAACCCTCTCCACAGCGGTTCAGAGAGGACAAACCTGCGTCGAGCAGGAATGAAGACACTCCTCTCCGCTCACCAGTGCATGCACATGTGCGTGCAAGTAATATTCAAATACTCCAAAAGACAATCTAACACGCCTTGTTGACGTATGAATAATGAACTAACGCCAGATTCACGATATGTTGTGCCAAAAGTTAACATGTGATGTTTACAATTAAAAATGTACATCAAGAACATTATAGGAGGGTGACTAATCCAAAAGCAGGACAAACATGATTTATTCATGATCAACAAGCAGGTGGCGCTTTACACTACAACATAGTGAGGTGAGCCCATCCACTCCCATATTACTTACAGTGAGTTTAAGGTGTTCGGGCAGCAAATCCTTCAACTGCGCGATGCATTCGTTTATTCGGTCCCTCCTTTTCTTCTCGATCAACCGATGAGGCAATTTGTACGTATCCTGGAGGTCAGGAGTTAACATTTTCTATTAATTTCCATGCGTAAAAATCATTTAAAACAAACTTAAATAATAATAAATAAATTGTGCAGTTTAAATCTCGTTAAGAACACTAAAATACATTTATACAAAGTTGGCAAGTAAAAGTGTGCGCAAATATTTTTGTGCGTAATTGCGCGCTTCGTACCTTACTGTCCTCACTGCGCTTCATTCCCCGCCGGGGTTTACACATATACATCGGATAGTCCATTCTATAAAATAAAACAAAATAAAATACAGTCAATGAAAGATCAATCTCTCAAGAAAGCGTTCAGAAACACGAATAAGCAGCGTCTGGAAAACTGACTTACCTTTCCATGTCAGAGATATCCATACTGTGTTTGGCCATACATGGTGGAGGCTGAGCACTGGTAATCCTCTCCATTTCACCCTATCAATATGTCTTAGTGGTGTAAGAATAGGGTTGATTTAAAATATATGTGTATATAGCAAAACAAAAACTAGATCCTTTACTCTCTCGTCAAAGTCCACAAGTATTTCCTTCGAATAGTTTTCGTTCCAGATATGGTCCCTCAAAAGTAGGACGCAAAACTGCTGTTGTTGTGAGGTGTAGATGCAGGAGGCGTTTGTCGGCTCCGCTGCTGGTTAAATGAGTGTATGTGGGTGGGTTTGAAGTACGTGTTAAATAAACCCTGTGACTGCAGACACGTCTCGAGCTCCAGTCACATGAGCCTCACGTGTGTGACGGCGCTTTCAGAGCTCAACCCATTTACAGCAGACCGTCCGCCCTCCCGTGTCCCGTGTCCCACCATGCTGCTGCGCGCGCTCTCTCTCTCTCCGTGCACAATAACAGCTCGTGTCAGGGACGTGTTTTATGAGCGCCTTATCCTGGATTGACTTCAAAGCATGATATACTATACAAAGATTATATAAAGGGGTTTAGAATGCTTTATCAAGCCACACCATTGGCTACCTTTTAAAAGGCGCATGCTTTTCACAATTCGACTTATTTACCAATGTAATTACGACAGCACCACAAAATGTCTATTTAAATGTCCATATATATCCTATGTATTTCAGTGCTGTCAAATCGATTACTCGGTCTACTAACAGATTGTGTTTATATATATATATATATATATATATATATATATATATATATAAAACACATTTAATATATAGGCTATAGGCTATACACACACAGTCACACACACATACACACATATATATAGGCCTATGTGTGTGTGTGATTGTGTAGCCTATATATATATATATATATAGCCTATACACAATCTGTTAGTAGACCGATTAATCGATTTGACAGCACTAATATACATGAAATACATACATATACAGATTATATTACACATTGCACATTGCATTAAATATATATATATAATAATAACATACACGCATGTATTATATAAACAAACTTTTATTTTTTTATGATTAATTGATTTGACAGCACTAATATCAGCACTAATAATAGCACTAAGACATTAACACATTGCATTAAATATATATATAATATAATAATATACACGCATGTATTAGGCTATATAAACAAACTTGAATGTTTTATGATTTGACAGCACTGATATATATATATATATATATATATATATATATATATATATATATATACATACTGTGTGTGAGCGTATATATATATATATATATTCTTTAATGTTTAAAACATTTTCTTTAAAAAATATAAAATACATTTTATACAAAATTAAATAGAAAATGCATATGTATATATGTTGTATACTATAAATAACACATTACATGAAATACAATATACAATGCAATACAATATAATATATATGCGTGTTATTTACAAATCCCTCTCGAGCGCTGTGTTTGCATAAAGGATTATATTGCTTTACAATAAGCAGCACTTCTGTTTCACACACGCATGGGCCTGAACGTGAGCGTGCAGACAGCAGAAGCTTCTAGAAAGAAACGGATGTCATATGAATAATGTGCAGAGCACCTGTTGCTCCATCAATATAATGCTAGTATTCATTATCAGAATTCCCCTGGCATGATGCTGGCACATGAGCGAGCACGGCTCAGTTGTCATGGTTACACAATAGTAACAGATGCGCGGGAACTAACGCGCCATTTTTTCGCACCGGGACCATTTGGCGCTCCACGTGCAGCCGCTCATGTCTCTCTCGTGCTGCGGCTCGGTTTGTTGTGGCCGGTTGTACTCGGCGGCGGTCACGTTGAACTCCTCATGGCGGCGCAGGGAAAGGGCGGAGGCGGAGAAACGATTCAATCCCTGGGACTGACGTCACCCGTTTATTTTAGTGCAGGGCAGCTCGAGCTCATCCCAGCCAGGCGCGCGCTCTGAGGAGAACGGTGCTCTCACGCGCTGTTTTAATTGTAAATAACGCGCAGAATATCCCTCATAAATATGGCAATATTTGATCTAAACGTCTTTGAAATGGTGGTACAATAACTGAGGTGTGGAAGACCTCGTGAAATACAGTAAATAATTAGGTAGCATTTACATTACTGAGTTCATAGGCTACTACACTAATTACATGCTGCTTTTCTCTCACTCAAATATATCAATGTTTATTCATTTGAATGCATGGATTATTTTATTTGGGCTATAAGAATTGATTAATTTCATTATTTCAATGAACAAATGTAATATTATGCGAGAGAAGTGACCCTCTAATTTCTGTACACAGAAATAAATTGCTAGTCAATTTCACATCGCCTATGAATGCAAAGAAACTGCAAGTAACACATTGCATTGAATGTGAGATTTTGAAGTACGAAGCCTGGAATGGTATCAGTTTCTTGCAAAACATAGCCTGCTCAAATAATCGTTTTAGAACTGCTGGTAGCTTTATAGAGATTTTGAGGTCTGTTCATAAAATCCTGTTAATAATTCAAATCCTAATAGAATTGGTGGAAAAGTAAGGGGGAGTTTGTTGCTTTTTTATCTGGCGAATTGCAGCAACAGGATGACACATCATCATCCTTCTTCACAGGCAGAGGACAGAAGCAGTGCATGAGACTGTTCCTTGTTCAGTGAATTCATAAATGCATTGCCTATTTTGGTTACACATGAAATGGAATGACAAAAACAGATTTGGGATGTGTCCTTGAGGCTTAGGGTGTAATATAGCCTGGCAACACTTTAGTGCTCATGTGACAGTGTAATTAGATACTGAATTATGTTTCAAGTTTTAAGTGGTTAATTTCACAGTCGGACCTTATATTAATCGCTTTTATTACATAACAAGTGGAACAAGAATTTTAATAGATCATGTGATAACTGAACTGTTTGGTTGGTTTAGTCTTAAACAGCCAGCTGTCCCGATGCCAATCAGTGTCATGTTTTGTGTCTTTCTTGTGGGTTGTGTCCTTTAATTAAGGAAAGTCCCCTTATTTGACCACAAATATGTTACAATTAGGACCGTTATTTGATTTAAGAGATGGAATGCTGTAAAGACGTCATCGGAGGTTAATGCATTTCTCTAACACTTTACATTAGTGTCCATTATCTACAAGCACTTAAAAAAGAAACAACATTATAACTAAACAGCATAGTACAAATTGGTACAAGATTAATACAAACTGTACATTAGTATTACTCAGCATTACATTTTTGAGTTGTCAAAAAAAAATCTTGAAAATGTTTGACTATTTCAGTTGTTGTGGAATGTGCGCATGAAATTTTGGTAACACTTTATTTTAAGGTGAATTAGTTACACGTCACTACATGTAGGCTACTTAGTAATAACTTAGAAAATTATGCACAATTACAAGTGACAAACCCTAACCGTAACTCATGTAGTTAATATTTCTCTGTAATATTACAATGTCACCTTAAAATAAAGTGTAACCTAAATGTTTATTATGATTGTGACATTAACGGGTCAACTTGACATGTACATTTCATAGTTAAGGGCAGGTGCCCAGACCCAAAATAAAAAAATATGCAGTTTGTGATCATTTTATGAAATATACCCTCTGAGGGTATTTACATTTATGCATTTGACAGACTTTTATTCACCTTTATTAAGACGGAGAGGCTTACATTCATTAGTTGAAGGTGTACATTTTTGTTGCTCCACTGTTTGAACTTCAGGAAAGCACACAAAAAATCAAATTTTTTCAGTGACATTTGTAAAAATATATATTTTAAATACTGTCTATACAGTAATATTTTCATTTTTGAAAAAATAATGTTAAAAAAACACTTAAATACAGTGTACTTGTTTTGTAATATGTGAGAAGAATCATACATTTTAAAGGGTTACTGTTTATATGTGATATTTTTCCAAATGGGTCAGTTTGACACGAAACATGATCATAGCCAGAAAGGGATAACCTTATTTTTCTATGTAAATGTTCCTTTAATTGTTCTCTATTGTTACATGTGTGTCCTGTGTTTCCCCCTGCTTAGTGTTTTTGGTTCAGTCCTGTGTCCCAGTTTTCCCGCTCCTCGTTTGTGTTCAGTTCATTCACCTGTGTGTTTAGTTAATTATCTTCATCCATGTCACCTGTCTCCTATTCATTATTGTCATCAGTCTCTGTATTTAGTTTCCCTCTTGGTCCGTTCTCGTTAATGTATAGCGTGTGTTGTGGTTCCTGAGTTTTGTTAATTAAATCCTGTTTTCCTGATCATCCTCGTCTTCTCATCATTCCTACCACCACGTATCGTAACATCTATAAATAGGACACCTGAATATTTGAACAAAACATGAACATACAGTACCACTCTCAGAACATTGAAAAATGACCATCATCGAGCTCGTACACCTCGAGGCTTTCACCATCCTGAGGCTCACTGTTGGAATAGCTCGCATATTAACTTTATAATAAGCTTCATATAAGCCCAGAAAGAAAGTGGCATTCACAGACCCACCCATATTAAACATATTAAAGCTACTTGAGTTTCCTATTTCTGACTAAACTGATGGTTTCAAGTCATATTTTCCTCCCTCTGCTTTTATTTCACAAATGTCACTTAACTCGTGGAAGGTTTCAGTCTGATGCAGCACTTTGCACAGGGGGATTTTAGAGCAATAATTTTGACGACGCTGACAAGTGTCAATAATTAAGCATCTAAAGGGCCTTTCTGACACTTCAGTCACACATTTGCTCTTTTTACGGACAACAGTAAAGTTACACCTCAGTGTTTTACCCTGAGATCGATTTGGGACTCTCCAGTCTGAGCTGTGTCACAATGTGCACTGCTCCGTCTGCGACTCACAAAACACACGGCGCAAAGATATACCAGTTTCAGCAGTGTGTGGAAAACAGCTTTTTCACCTCTTTTGCAGATCAACATGAGAGGTCACAGAAAGTGCATTTCCTTAGAGAAGCTTGGGCCGCCGGATCCTATAAAGCTTGAATTCTTAAGCTCGACTTCCTTTCCATCGACTGTGGTGAATAAAATGTCACGTCATAAGAAGCCTGTAAAATGATGCAGTCGCATCTATACATGCATATAAACTCATATTTGGGAAACGAAAACCCTTTTTTCTGCTGTTTTCGCACTTCTGCTGTTTTCACCACTGAAATTAACACATTTGTGTTAATATTGTGCAAGATGGCAGCCAGTATCAATAATGAACAAGTATAATGTAGAATAATGAGCAGAGTTACTGATATTTAACATTGATTCCACTTTGTTAGTGGTCAAAAGACATTCATT